GATCTTTAAGAAAAGCTATCCCTGTGTACTCAACATGAATCAAGAACTAAACATATCTAACTACTGCATTTCTTAAACCAACTCTAAGAGACATAGTTGAACCATCTGCCAGTGACCTCTTTCATATACTAAATCATTTCTTAAATGTACTCCCCTTTACCATGATGTCTGTGACAATGGAGTGAGGAATCCATGTTACATACTATGTAGTTATCTAACAATGACCAAATTAATGTTGAATGGTACATATAATAATGGTTTTTACCACGTGAGCTTTTAAAATAAAGTAACTCACCCCTGCACCTCCGTCACTTTCTTTAAAGATAGTCCAATACCAAAGGTCTGATTTAGTTGGTTCCTTGAGAAGAATTTCTATAGAGGAATGTTGTAAACTCTTACAGAATGAACTAAAACACAAGTAAATACAAAGTTTGCAAATGGACAAGCTGGCTTGACTAGTGATTAGGGTATCTCCTTGTTTCTCTGTTATAAAGCAATCATAAGGAAATGCTAAGGAGTGTGGTATTTACTTCCACAGAGTGAACTACTGAAACAAGTACTGCACAGTTGCACCTCAATTATCCGAACTCTTGGAGACTGGGCTTAATAGTCTTGGATTATTAATCAGGAGTCTAGATAATCAAATATTTCAATACAAATATTCATAGCTAATGGAACCAGAGAAGCAAGTTCACATAATCAAAAAATCCTAATAATTGAGGTTTTATTGTAAATATCAAGTCTACTAATGGAAGGTCTCCTTGCTTCTTTTGCAGGAAGCAACTATGAGTCTTTGTACTCCTCCCACAGACAATGCTAATCCATTGTGGGTTACCCCTCTCTTACCCTCTCTCCAAACATTTGCTCAGGTAAGAACTGATGTACACTATAAGGTAAGATTGAGCTACACTCTCTTGGGGAATAAGGAGGAATATCACTCCTTTCGTCATAAATGTAGGAGCAAAAAAAAATTTACCTAAATTTACTACCTTTCTTGTTTCATTTACTCAAAAGATGCTTTCAACATTGCTGGTTCTTAAGAGACCTGTCACATGTTAACCAAATATTTCTCTAGCTCACCATAAATTTCTCTTTAGCTCAGTGGTAAATCATCAAAGAACCAAACCTGAGGGTCAGAAGTTCAAGTCATCATGGGAAATCAGAGTTTGTTCTTTTAACTCTTTTATGACAAGGTAACTTAAAGTGCACCTAGGAGCCCATTCCTCTGTAAACTCAATATCCTTAGCAGGAAAGAAACACTACATAGCCAATCAAATACTCAGGCATTATCAAACTCAATGATGCACATTAATCATTTGCTTGACTTGGATTGGGTTCCACAATCAGACATGACTGCTGAACATGGTTGCTGGAGTTTGAAAATCCAACTCACTGACATGTTCCCATTTGATTACTTTCATTTCTGAACCAATTTCAAAAACAATCAAAGAAGGAAAATTCCCTTGAATTCAACTGATTTTACATTCTGATTTGTTCAACCAGCTATGTAATGAAAACAAAACAATGACCTCAGGCAAGCCTTTAATCATGGACTTCAGGTCCACAGTACTGGATGCAAATAAGCTATAAAATCACAGTGTACTACATTACATGTATTTTGTGTCTCATCTGCTTTAGCTTGAATGAAAATTTATCTCCAGTAAATTACAGTTTAACCATTCTTTAGCTTAGTTTTATTGGGAAGATACATTGTCAAATGGGTTGGGAGAAAACACAGTAGGCACTGAATAAAGAAAGATATATATATATATATATACAACTGTTTAAAAAAATGTTGAATACATATAAGTATATATATTGATAGAAAGATAGATTGATTGATTGATAAATATTAGTGGCCCTACAATGGGTTTCACAACTCCATTTTATCCTTCTGTGCATATTTTTACACAAGTCCATCTGCAAGTGCAAATTAATTTTCGTCTAATTTTTTTTTCTTTCATTTCCTTTGCATCATAACAAATAACTCGTTTACCATGTATTTGTTAAATCCTGGTGATCAAATGCAGAAGCTTTCGCCGATAATGAAAAGTTTCGAAAGATCAGAGCGGATTACAACCTCAATAGGGCTTTATTTATCAACTTCTACCAAAACGATCACTAGACCAAAATAAGGAAATAATTATCGTCACAAAAACAATCAAATTCAAAGCTATACAGTTGATCTTCAAAATTATTCGCAAAACTCGCAGCTGGAATCTTATTTGAATTTAAACCATTCGAAAGTTGAAAGGTTCGACACTACACGAGTGATAACGCAAAGCGAAAATCACAAACAATTAACATTCACAGCCTTTGCTAAATCATATTGTTTCAATGCATATGTATAATCCCACATACGTATTTCAAACACATTGAACAACACTACACCTGGCAACACTTTTAACAATCGATTATCTTATCGAGAGAGTTTATATCGATCTTTCGGGACTAAAAAGTAAAATATCTTCCTGTCGTCTAAAAACCACTGATGGAGAGGGATGTGACTTCTTACCTGCTTCTCCAGAAACTCCACGTAAAATAGCGACTAGCCACAGAACTAACATTGAATGATTGGACTTCATGATTTAGAGATTTAACCGATGACTGGTCTTAAAGGACATAAATATAGCTATCCGTCGCACTTCCTTCGCGAGTTCAATTGCTCGTCAACGTCAAAAGATGACAACTGCGCAAGACCGGAAGACGAGTATGCTCAAAACGGGTCAGACCTTTGCGACCTCGCCCAGTTATTTTGAATGAGGAATGTATTTCAATCACGTAGGGCACTGAACCAAATCTAATATTAAGAATTTTAAAGAGACCTACGCAGTCATTTTTGCAAATATTCCGCTATCCTCTGTGTAAATCAAATCTACCACTCGCTTACGACTGTCGTGCACGTCACGAAAAATGTCGTAGGATTTTAAAACATGTTTTAAAACGCTGCGACAATCGTAGCCGAAATTGATAGAAAATGACGTATTTTGTGACAAATTTCTATTGAGTAGGGGAGGAAGGTGAAATTTTCTTGCGTCAAAATGGCGTCGAAGACTGCTTCCAAAGCGAAAAATACATTCTCAGATGAAGAAACAGAGAATATGATATCACTGTGGAGCGAGGAAGAGGTTCTTTTCCTTCTCTTGCAAATTATTGAAACAATGACCGCGGCCGAAACGAGTGGAATTGCACGCGATTTTGGAATGTCGTAGGTGAAAATGTCGTGCGCGTGTAAATTGTCCTAAGTCATGTCGTAGGCCTGTCGTAAGCTTGTCCCTTGCGACAAAGTCGTACCGTGTAAATAGGCCTTTAGAGTTTGCACGTACAGGCAAGAAGTAATAAAGTATGGCGCGACGGAAGGAAATTGTATCGATTTCATTTTCGATCAGTTGTATGTTTTCTTAGTTCATTGCTAAAATTAAGTCCATCTTCTCGCGGTAACCTGACTCTGCGATTTTCTTGTAGGCAGATTATCTCGAACTGAAACCACGAAACTGGGTGGGGCTAAAGCGTCAAGGGAGGGGAGGGATGGATGAAAAGCCCGCAGTCTACCTTTTTTGGTGTGTGTGTTTGTAACGCTTCAAAACTGTCAACGATATTTGGAGGTTCAGTGATATCTTCATGAGGCCTTGGCAAATACTGGCAAAAACTTTAAGCAACACAAAAACAGGCCTTTGAAAGAAAACTCAGCACTTTACTTAACGAGATCTTGAACAAAGAAAATTCCAATATTAACATATCACAAATCATTTGAAAAAAAATGATGATAATAACGAGTAATAGACAATAGTATGTACGAGGAAGCAGGAAATATATTATCCTTAAATAGCACTTAAGTAACAATTCTGAAAATGTAAGTAATAATCCTTATGTATGCATGACTGACACTGAAGGTAATTGTCACGGTAGCTTATAAATAATAATTCGGTTCTTATTCTTGTGGTCCCTGTACTTTTTTTTAAATCATAATTTAGTTCGAATGTCATACTCTTTGTCTGGCCCTCCTAGGTTAGCTTGCCTACTTGCGGATTAGTTCAAAGTGACAATGTCAGGAGCCCATCAGTGGTGGGCTTCTGACAATGTGTAATGTTCGAAACAATGATGATAATAAGTTTTTTTTTCGGTTTTATAAATGAGTAAGGAAGACTTTTATCTCGCAATTGGCGTTCTTCCCTTCGCTCGCTTCATCAAGATGTTCATGGCAACTTCCTCCAATGCTCTTCCATTTCCTGTGCGCAATCGAAAATGAGCAGTGCCGATCAGTGTTACCCAGTTCCTCTCGCCACAAAGCAGGAAACGCATTCATCCTTCCTTTGGTCCTTGCGAAAATGTAATTCTTTTCTGCTTATGACTTGAAAGCTTTATTGTAATCATAACTGCAACCTTTCTGATAAACTCTCCATCAATTGATGCTCATTTGCAGGGAGAGAAAAGAAAAAGAAATTCCGTCTTCCTAAGGCTTGTTCTTGGTTTCTAGACTTCTCTTAAAATAATATTAGCCGACATCACTTCCTGATAAAAAGAAGTTTCTCTACAATCAATTAATTCTTTTTTTCGGAAAATTCCGAGCAGAACGTGAAAGAACGAATAAGCTTTGGTTAAGGAATTCTTCTACAAAATAACTGGATAAGTATATAACTGAAATAAAAGGAGTCAGAATAAACCGAATCCAGTCCCATGATCGAGAGCCTTCGGAGGCCATTATCAAGATCGATCAAGCCCATGGAAGGTTTTGCATGGTACTTATCACAATTTTGGATTCTGTAAAACAACATCTTAATCTGTGGCAGTCTTGAAGTTGCAGATGTGTCAACTTGCGGCCTTCTTATCTCGTATGATCTCATACAATAAGGCGGGAAGGAATCTTACCATTTACGGAATTGGGCCCCAGGATCCCATCCAATCCTCCTCCAAGCGTCATGTGACCCGCTGGCGCGTAAATTCGCATGAAGAAGAGGCTCTGCGTTCGACCATGATTGTTTTCCTATACGCCAGATACAAATCGAGAAGTTTGGGATAGCAAGATCTGCCACTTAATTCCATTTATTTCTTTGAAAAAAGTACTTCATTGTGACTTAATTACTAGCAACTCAAAGATGCCCTTGGTTGACAGCTCAGAGGATGGGGAACGTTACTCCTTTCGCTTGCGTCGAATTGGGATTCCTGCGACTTATCCGGGAATCGGGAACACGTTCAAGTGAGTTGGAACAGCTGAGCTGAGCTGCTTTAATACGGTGCACGTACTTCGAAAGCATACGAGAACCGTAGGTTCTTTGAATAGAAACAGATCTAAGTTATGGGTTCGTGATAGAAGATCAGTTGTTTTTATGCGAAGCCATGTAAAAGACTTGTGTATGCGAATTATTCAACTTATTTTTACTCTAATGACGACTTCCACTCTGGTTGTCGAAATGTCAGTCAATACTCAGCTCAGTACCTCGTCAGTATTAGCGACAGCAGTCCCTTCCAGGAATGCTTTTACACAGAAGATCAGAATGTAAGATCAGTAGAAATACATCTGTAAATATTGTTGAAATATTAAAACTCTCGCTTGCTAGATGCTTGAAGCTTTAGGTCGAGTGGGATATGTTTTATTTCGAATCACAGAGATATTTCCTATAAAACCGTGTTAAAGGTTTAAAAGTGTCTAAGTGGTTAAAAACATGTAACTCATAGGGCCCACATGGTCCCCCTGTAATAGTGGTTTCAAAATAGGGCAAAATGTTGATAACCACTGTTTAGTTGGAGTGGTAGTGGGGTTGGTGGTAAAAAGAGAGGGGAAGGGCTGTATCTTTTGACCTGTTGATATAGTATGACAGGTATATGTGCACATCTTTCCTTGCCTGCCATAGTTGCTATACATTTCACATGGCAGAATTGCCTTTGCATGCATGAGATCTCATTGAGTTCTGTGCAGTCTGGTGAGGTCTTTTGAGATGTTTTGATTCAGTCAGATCTTTTTGCAAGGGATTGCACTTGAAATGAGATATTTTCTCCAAATTTAAGATTTATTAAGGCTTGCATATTTTCTTCTACAAAAGATCTTTCATTAAAACTTCGACAATAACAGTTTTTACTCTTGTTTTCAGAATTAACAAAGAGATAACTGTAGTTGGAAGAAATCCTTCATCTGATATTTTCCTGGATTCCAAAAAGAATAAAGTTATGATATCTAGACTTCATGCACAGATTATTACAGAGGAGGACAGCTCAGGAAAGCAGACCTTCTCAATCTCTGACACAAGTCTTAATGGCACATATGTGAATGACATTAAAATTGCTGATACTTGTAATCTCAGCCCAGGGGATACTGTTACATTTGGACATATAAGGGGAGCTGTTTTGACCCCTGGGGAGCTTGCTCAACAACCAGAATCTGAGTTCTGTTTTAAGGTGAGTTGTTGTGATTGGGTGCTATGACTACAGAGTCTATTACAGTTTTGGGGTATGAAGGAAGTTGAACTATTGAAATCCCTTCCCCTCTCCAACAATTTCTCTGTAGATCTCTTCTGTAATTCTCCTTACTGTCTGCAATATAATTTTTATAATGATGACTTTAATGGAGATGGTAAAATTTAAGCCTGGTGATTCAAGCAAAAGATGATGTTTTCAGTGAACGATGCAGAGATACTCTGATAATTTAAAAACTCTAAGCAATCAGAGGTCTTTGTCTCCAAGCATGCCCATGTGTATTCTGAGAATTTGGTATGGGTCAACTAACAATCCGCTAATTAATATTTTTCTTTATTTTCATTGCTTGTTTGCTTGATAGGAGAAATTTAGTGTTAGTCACTTAAAATTGGCAGGTATCAAGTTCCTAGAATTTCCTGACATGTTGTCCAGAATCATTTACATGTTTAACATATATTTTAAGTGAAACAAGGTTTTGTGAGAATGCCTGTCCAAAAGCAGTAAACAAAAACAAACAAACAAACAAATAATGAAAACCAATAAGAACAACAAAGAAAACCACACACATTGGCAATGGCCTGAGCTTGTACCCTGGCCTTGGTCTCTTAAATGCTAACAATCTCCCACATTATTACAGTTGTAACCAAGGTTTGATATTATCGTTCATCAATGTTACAAAAACTGTATCCCTGAATGGGGTACATTTACTTCACCATAAGAACCTGCCCTCAGCATTCATGTGTTTTTTGGCAATTCACTTGCACCAATTTACATTATTGAGTGGTGAAAGAGGCATTGTTTGTCAGTGAGAGGAAATGACGAAGGGCTAATGCTTGGAACATCAGCTTTGGAACTCTATAGGGTGGTAAATCTATGTTATCAACTCAGGTGATAATACTAAATTACCCTTCATGTATAATAATATTCCTAGCCAAGGGTCAATCATGGACAGACCTTGTTGAACAGATGTACCTGGTGCAGGTACATATACATGTATTTGTGATGGATTTCACTGAGATGCAAAATTATGATAATTTTTCTCCTTGTTAAGGTTTCAATTTTGTTTTGTTAAATTTAGTTTGAAAAGTATCCAGCCGCACCTCCTAACGAGAAGCAGAGGTCTTCAGAAGACACAAATTATTCTCCTGAATTTCAAAGACAGGTGCAGTGTACTTGCTGTCTTCCTTGTATTTTTTCCTTAATTTTTTGATTCCCTAATTCTGTAAGGAAACAACCTCTTCATATTTATCCATTTCGTTCTCTTTTCTTTTATCTATAAGAAACAATAATCCAATTTATAAATTGCTTTTAATTTCTTACTCTTTTTCTTTTCTTTTGTTACTATAATTGTTATTTTTTAAAACATCAGCAAACACCAAGCCCTCAAAAACAGCCAAAGCCTGCATCAATCAAGACTCCACTGTTTCCTGTGGCTCACTTTCCTGATCTTTCAGCTTTTCATACTCCAGGCACACCTGGATATTTGGCTTCCTCATGGTCTACAGATAATTGCAGGTAAGTGCGTATTAACTTCAATATTTATGTTAATTAAGGTGTTGATTTTACACTTGGCATGCAACCTGAGGCATGGTTACAACAAATCTCTTCACATGCCATTGTATACAAGAAGGTGAGTAGAATCTCTTAACCCTTTAACTCCCATGAGTGACCAAGAGAGAATTTCTCCTTACCATAGCAATACAATATCAACCAGATAAGTGTTGAGAGTAAAGAAAAATATCAATTTGGGGATAATTAGTTGATCCAATGCTGAATTCTCTGAACTAACATGACAAGAATTGTATGGTTGACAGTAAGGATAATTACAAATTTGATCTGGGACTTAAAGGGTTAAAGATTAATGAGGATGAGAGTGACTCTCGGGTAAATTGTTGTAATTTTTAATTCTGCCTTCTTTTTGTCATACAACCAATAATGAATTAGTTGGGAGAAATAGTTTTGTATCAAAATAATACCCTCAAGCTGATGTATTGGCCTTTATCCATCAGCTTGACACCCACTAAGTACCCAAATACTGGACATGTTCATGTACTTGGTCATTTTGACTTCTGGCATATTACAAAGACCTACTCAATTTTGATTTTAATAATCACAGATTACACAGTCCCATTCATGGTAGCTCAAAGTGGCAACATAATCATGCTAGCCAAAATTTGGATTCTGATCAAAGTAATGATGATCTCAGAGCATATGCAGCTGCTGCAGCAGATGCTATGGCCGATAGTGAGGAGGACATTTTTTCAATTCGGCTGCCAGAGTCTCCTGAATCATATGAAAAACCTGGCACATTCTCTTTCTGTGCAAATAAGCAGACATTTATGAACAGCCATACTTCCAAGACAATACACCAACCTTCCCAAAGAAACATCAGAGAAGGAACAAAAAGATCTATTGGTAAAGGAAAGAGTCCTCTAAAAGGTAATTGTACTTATATTCTTTAGTTGAGAAAAATTATTTAGAGGTGATCAGTAACTTTGCAGCATAACTTAAATAAAAAATCCAAGGCATGATTTTAGTCACACTAGTCAACCTTAGTTGAATGATTGATCTTAAACCACAAGTCATCTCCAGCTACAAATAGCATGATGGCATCCTAATTAATAATCAAAATGCAATACAATCATGTGAATTGCATGAATCCTGTCAGCAACACTTATAAAGTCTTTTCTTCTTGGTGTTAGAATACAAAACAGGCTAGTCAATAGACTGACAAGGACATGTACATGTACTTATCACAAGGAGTCAAAATTTGATGTGTTTCCTTATCTTGGTGATTTAACAAATAAAGTTCACACTGTTATACAGCAAGATAATGAATTCAATACACATGTGTGTGTGTGTTATTTGCACTTGCATGTATGTTCTAGTAAGTTTTCAGCTTGTATTCAAAATTTGTTGTACCCTGTATTTTAGTGGCCAGTAAAAGACCAAGAAAGCATACCAGGACCTACAAGAAAAATTCACACAAATCTACCACAAGCAGTGACAGTGATAAAGATGAAGACAATCTCTTGTACAATTCTTGTTCATCTGTGGACTGTATTCATCCTCACAATAGAGACAAACTTGTTGACTGGGTACAATGTGATGACTGTGATGACTGGTACCATGTGAAGTGCACAGGGCTAACCCTTGAGTCTGTGCGTCCAAAGTCAGCTAAGTTCCATTGTGGCTGTGTATGAATCCTTAGAGTGGCTTTCTAACCATTTGACTCCTAAGATTTAAGTAGTGATTTTCCATGTTATTGGTCATTTATCACATACAATTTTAGATCTAAGACTTGATGGTCAATCAAGCAATACCCCCCTATCTGATATAATATTTCACTTCTCATCATCTTTTTGCTTGAAAATGTATAGATGTTGTGAGGAGAAATTCATGCCTGGTCACTCTTGGGAACAAAAAGATTAAGATAAGGGGCTTGGGGCTCATATGAGAAGTGCTTTTCATGTAAAGTTGACCCCTTAGACCAATCACATACCCATCATGGTCTGAACTCACTGAACATTGTTGCAGGGACAAGTTTCAGTGATAAAACTTCTCTATTTACATACATGTCGGCATCAATGCTACATGCACTTGACTGAACTAATTTTGTTGCAGCAATCATATTTACAAATTAAAACCAGTTTGAATTTGTTTGAAGCAGCTGTACCTTTTAGGCACTGGCTTGTTTGTTGTTTTATATGTCTAGCCACCAAAAGATCTCCAGGAAACACTGACATAATCTAAATGTGTGGTTTTAGCCTTCAAGGGGAATTTTAAGGCTTTCCTCATTCTGAATCATGGTGGCAAGAGTTTCAGGGCTTTTTTTAAAATCTTATTTCTGTTAAAATGAAGTTGAAGCGAACAAAAAGTTTCAAACTAATTAGTGATGCCTAGCCCAGAGTTTCCATTCAGGATTTTATTTAAAGAGGACGTACAGTATAGTGCCTTGCATTGCATTGTTACCTCATTTATTAACTAGTCTTCAGTGGTTGTTATTCTAGATAGCAAATTTTAGGCCATGCATCCGAGTAGTTTATCCACTTTAGTGTGAGTAAGACAGAACTCATGATTGCAAATCATGAACTTGGAAGTTCAACTAGGCCTTTAAATGTTTTCCCCAGACATTGTCCATTAATCAGCAAATTTGAAGTTTAACAAATTTTAAGTGAATATATAGGACTAAGTTTCCTATGTAATGAATAATTTCAAAATCACCTGTCAATGTGTGTTGTTGTTTCAAAGTTTGTTTTGCTGTTCCTTGTCAATTAAGTGACAGCATTGAAAATTATCTATAAAAATTCCATATAAACACAAAGGGTCCCATTTAGGATTCTAATTGTAGACCTGTGCATTGGGTTGCATAACTTGTTTTATTTTTTAATCAACTAGTTTCCTTTTGTTCTTAAACTAGGTTTTATGAATTTAGACTGGTCTGTAAGGGGTGAATCCAATTTTGTTGTAGATAAAACTGGTTTCATGTGGGCATGTCATGAACTCAGGGATTCAGCTCTGCCTTCATAAATTTGTCCTTGACAATATATATTTATTGGCAAATATGAAAAAAAAATTAAAAATAAAAAGAATTACACAAAGTTCTATGAATTTTAAGTGCCAAGTAGGCCTTATGAAGGTTGTTACTTATCAATTTATTTCAAAATCACCTGCTGAGGTAAATTAAAAGTTGTTTTTGAAAGCTCGTCTCACTGTTGCTTTTCCCTAAAGGGAAACTGCTGAATATTATAATTTTGATTAGAAATATGACTATATAATTTTGATAATATAATTTTGAAAAAATATTATTTAATAAAGTATGGTAAATTTTATAATTCAGTTTTTCCATCATATTGACCAGATTGTTACATTGTGCATTGTTGTGAAACTCTAAAAATAAAGCTGTATTAGCTTTGTTTAGTTTGTAATTGTTGTGATCAAAGAATTTCTCTTGTTATTTTTTTCTCTAGTTTTAACTATTTGAACTAAATTGTATCATTATAACATCTGACAATGATTAATTTATGATTATTCATATAAATTGTTTTCATCATTTCCAGTTTGTCAGATAGACCATTTACATGTACAAGTACAATTAAGTATGTTTTAGACAGTCTTTCAGTTAAGAATATTGAGAAATTTCAAATGTATAAGGAAGCTCAAAACTGGTTTACAAGCAAGAACAGTTGAGCATACACTTAAGGAGAAGGAGTAAGCTTAATCTCTTCTGAAATTTTCTTGCGAAAGTCTTCAGAGAAAGTCCCTTCAGGCAGGCTTTGAAGTAGTATCTGCTGTAATTGTACTGTGTCTGGTCCTACAATCAATTCTGGGTCTTTGTTCTTTTTGGCTGTGTTCTGTATTAGAAATCCTTTGAAGCCAAGTCGGGATTGCATTTTTCTGATAGGGTATATAAAGCCTTGATCTCTCGCAGAGTCAAGCAACTGTTTGATTCTGTCATGGTTTGGGTCTGTTGGAAGTACCTCCCACTGTGGATCAGGACGACCAGAAAAAACTAACAAGGTGATTTTCAAGTTTCCTACAACAAATGCAAAAAAAGTATACAAGTCATATGATGTACTAATATTGTATTACAATCAATTCAGCCAAGAAAGGTCTTAACCCTTTACACTCTAACATAAGAATGCATATTCTCTATACTGTTCTCTATTAAATTTCCTGAGGTGATGATAAGGAGAATTTGTTTAACAATCAAGAGTTTCTGTAGTAGGTGATCATTTCCTTTATCCCTTGTGACCATAATGTGTGATTCAGGGCTGATATAGTAAAGAGAAATTAGATGCTACTCACTCTTTGGGGTCAAACAGTGAAAAAAATGCTACAAAATGTTGGAAATTATTTATATTAATTTGATGCTTGAAACAAGACAGCATTTTTTAGTATTTCAAAAGTAGTGCAGTGAGAAGCTTTGTCACATGATTCTGAACAGATTTTAGCCTCAAAGAGAATGTTTTACAGATATTAGTATATTCCTGGTGAATAATGCTTTTTGGTCATGCTGATTGGCTAGTTTGGAAGTGAATAGCTAGTACTATTCACCTCTGAGCAGCTGATGAGACAAAATTGTGCCTCAAGAGTGTAATTTCTAACCATTTTTTGGTATAATGAATGAAATAATCTTATATTTTTGTATCTGTGTGGTATATACTAAAACAATTATTCATCTCAGTGTTGTTGAAAGTGGTGGATTTTTACTTTTACTCCAGTGAAAAATTGTTAATTAACATTTCGAAAGAAAGACAATCTCCAAAAATGAGTGAAATCAACCAAAAAAAGACCTATTCATTAAGGTTATTCTTTAATTACCAGACTCCTTGCATGTTGCTGTTGGTGAGTCACTTGATGTTCCTTCTTGTTGATCTACACCTACACTCAAAGCTTCTTTCCTAATCTTCTCGGAGAGATCCTCTCTTATCTTACCAGGGAGCAATTCACTTGGCATACTTTTAAGTAACAACTGTTGAAGCATTGCTGTGTGCAGACCAAAAATATATTCCAGATCTTTGATCCCCTTGGTTGTGTCCTGTATTGTGAATCCTTTGAAGCCAAGTCGTGCTGGCATGTCCTTAAAGGGATTCAGAACAAACCCTCCAGCTCTTGCAGTGTTAAGAAGCTCTTCAATTTTGTTGTAGTTAGGATCTGAAGGAACAACTTGCCACTCTGGATCAGGAAGACCAGAATATATTTTTATGGAAACTTTCAAGTTCCCTGCAATAAAAGAGGACTTATGAATTTCAAATAGTTCTGGTCCCTGTGAAAATCGTTCCATGCAAATCTTTACAGATAAAACTCATACTTTTATGATACTTCAATTTAAGGGTCCTCAGAAATATGAGAGGATTTGTCTTCATTAATGAACCACACAATTCAGTAAAGAGAGTGTTTATGGTTGGGCAGAACATGGTTTTTATTAATTCACTTAAATCTTAATTAGCATTATATAATTATTTATATATATATCATTCACTTTACCCTTTGCAGTTGTCATGGTGGTATCTGTACTCAGAGTTGTTGCTGTATAGAAAAGAAAGGCCAACTATAAGTTTTCATCAACTGAAGATGATAATGAACATCATTAGAGTTTTTAAAAACATGAACACAAATGTAACTATTTATGATTACAAACTTTGTCAAGCATGGCTGATTCAAAGGGGGAAGAAAATCTCCTTTACTCCCATCTTATGCCTTCCCCTGCGAAACATTGCAGTTTTTCTTTCAGTTTCCACCCTTTCTTTCCCGTTTCTTATCGAAATCTAACCGCTATTGTCCGAGGTTCTCATTCCAATTTCTACCTCCACCTGATAGTTGACTAATACCTGTTACCTAATACCCGCTTTAAAAATGCTCTCAGTCGTCACAGGTAAAACAAGCTAGACCGCTGTAAATCGGCTAAGAAACTCTCAAGATTCAAAAGACAAAACAAGAAGTGGGCTACGATTATTTTAATTCAAACTTCTGCAGATTTATGGGTTAGTCCTCATTCCTACACAAATCCCTATATGCTGCCTTTAGTGTGATAAAAACGCGCATTGTTCGATCTTGGTTACCTGTGTTCGCGCTGTGTTTTGCCTTTAAACAATAGAATTATATTACCTATGATTTTAAATTATCATTTATTCCATACATTTTTTTTTTCCTTGGGAAAAAAAAAAATAACAAGCCAAAAGTCAAGTGACCCAAATGAGTACTACTAACGTTTATTATAATTCATGACTAGTCTCAGACTTAAAAATAATCAATGAAAGAGGTCCAAAGCTTTGATATGAGGGGGTAGGGGGTGGTCGGAAGTGAAATTATTCTGCTCTCACTGCATGCTGTGCCTTTTATGCTCTGAGGTATTCAAATATTTTAATGTTAAAATTTGGCGTGGTTTTTAGAAGGCATATACTGATAAAAAGATTGATCGTAGCAATTTGGACTCCACAATCGAACGATCGATCATGGGAAACCCGTAAACAATTTCTTAATAACAAGTCTTCTGACGTTGTTTCCCCAGAAATTGTATTAAATCAAGTGATTATGTCGCAGTTTAGGATAAGGTTCGTAACACCGACTAGACTGACTGTTTTGACAAATTGCACCGGTCTTAATATAGGTGTAGAGGGGGCACTCGTGTGAACGGTCACAGAAACCCTGTGTTCTAATTTGAAAACCTTAAATTCAAATCTAAGACAATTGTGTCGATTTGACTCATACGTACGTGCGTTTTCTAACAGCTTATCCTGACGGTTTAGGAAATGATATGTTCCACATAATCTCCTGGCAATAATTGTTATGTACGTACTCTACCTCTCTATGACCCTTATGTTCTACGCATGGTTACCGCTCTCATCTACAAAATTGTATGCATAATGAAGCAATGGGAGGATCCCACCGTCAAGTTGTTACCGCTGAGTTTTTTTTTTCCTTTTAATCTGGCCTGTGAAAACCCTGCAAAGAAGTAAGTTATTTCATCCTACCTTCAGTCGAAGCGTTGACAAGGAAAGTGAAATAAAGACACAGCAAAATTTGAAACAAACGCTTCGCTTTCGAAAACATCATAATGAAAAGACCGCGCTTGTACCAATTGAGGTTGCGTGCTGGAATGGGGGACAATTTCCGTGACAGATAAATTTGAGCAAGATTTCATAGGTTCCAGTCTTCCCCGCCACGCCCATTTTGTCACGCGAGGGACAGTCCCTAGGTGTGTTTTTTTACCCACCAAGCTTGAAGAAGCGTCTACAGGTCAGATATCAGAGAGAAGAGAGGGATCTCTCCGTGTGCTGGAACTAAGAAGGGACATACAGAAGAGGAATGGCCATATATCTTGGTCACAGATGAGTGCATCCAGTCATTTTCAGGGTTGATGTTGAGAGCCATTTCCAGTGTTCCAAGGAATGTTTTCAGAACCATGTAAGAAAGGATAAACTAATTTTTATGGGTTGAGGAGGCTGAGCAAAGGGGTGATGCATTAATGGGGTTTACACTAGACACCTGCTTTTCTATAGGGAAGAACTTTGACAACTAGATTCCATCACTCTGATCCATTCAAAAACTAATATTTTTCAGGAAGTGGGTCATGCAAAAAACTTGTTCAGGACAGTATGAATTTCATCAAAATAAATAAATGTGTACATGGCTGGTAAACTAAACACTTGTAAACCTTTTACACTCTAACATAAGAATGCATATTCTCCATACTGTTCTCTGTGCATAATACCTAAGATACTGACAGGGAGAATTTGGCTAACAATCTAGTAACTCTTTAGTATGTGATCAGAATACCAATTCATTTCTTGTATTCCTAACGTGAGACATGGTAGCTTAAAGGTTATAAAGTGTGCTGAATGTGGAAACAAAAGGTCTGGAATGGAACCATGACCAGATAAGGTGATGTGTTCTTGGGCAAGACAGGTTAATCTCATAACACCCCTCTCCATCCAGTGTTAATGGCAGGCAAACCAACAATGAAATCTGACAAAGTACTGTGGGTAACCTGCAGTGGGCTGGCATCCCATTCATATGAAGCATCAAATGAGGTGGGGGGGGGGGGGAGGGGTGGTGTTTGACTTAGCCTGTATGCAGACTCAACAAGTGCACTTTGTAGACTAGTTAAATAATTAACAGACCAGTTAATTAACTCCTGACATTTATTGAAGTACAGCACTCCCACACCTCACTCTAAGAGCTCTCTGTGGCATGGAACACCAAAATCAATTTTTTTCACTTATTTTTTTTTTTGACTTGTGCCACAGTCTTCGTTGAAAATGAGGGACTGAGCATAGTCTTAAACAATATTTGGCTAAGCACAGTAAGCTCTAGAAATTTATCAAGTGTGTGTTTTCATAAAATGGGAAAAAGAGAGTATATCTTTAAGCTATTTTTTTGGTGACTTTGCAATTTCTTTCAGTTTTGATGACTGATTCTTGAAAGCCAAGTTAAGATTACTTTTGTCTTCTTGAGACCTATGACAGAACTATACACATGCACCTATTACATAAATAACAACTTGTGATTTTCACCAACTGTACAAATACCTAAATCTACTCCAAGAAAACAATAATAACAGATTGATTGCCTGACTTAGCCTAGATTTATCAGAAAGACATGGAAAGGTTTCTCACTATGCTCTTTTGAATGTTTTCTAGGGCAAAAACCATTATATCCCAGGCAAAATATTTGTATTTACATCATTTTTATGATTGTTTTGTCCATGACATTCAAATCAAAACAAAGAGGAGTATTATGCAAGTTATAACCACAGTGAATGGAAGCCATGTCTTCAGGAATGCACCCACACTGCAAACAATGATTTAAAAAAAAAGCTGTTACTCTGTTGTTGGTGATATCAATAAAAAAAGACAAAGATAAAAATGTTGTGCCTGTAAACGTAAGATTCATGAAAAAACATGTCAGTTGGACCAGGAAAATTTGCGTTGATAAGTGACAAGGACCTGTATCTCCTGCATGATGCCATCAATCTAGCATCTTTGTTATGATACAACTTTCACAGTTTATGTTTTGAACCAATAGTAACAGTTGAATAAAGGGGGTAAGTTTCTAAAGAAACTGTGGTGCTGCATTGGTGGGAGAGTATAGCAGGTTATTTAGAGTTAACAACTGGGTTGAAAACATAAATTGGCCACCGTAAAGAATAAAAGAGCTGAAATTTTGAGTGTTAGCCCTTTGTCAGAGTGATACATGAATCACTCTGACAAAGGGCTAATGCTCAAAATGTCAGCTTTTCCACTCTTTATGGTGGCCAATTTACGTTTTCAACCCAGTTGTTAACATTAAATTACCTGCAATAGTAACAGTTGTCTGGGAAGTGCACCTGGGTCAATTTTTTTTTAGCAGAGTGGCAGTAGTTGATGACAATGAACCACCTTTCAATAACCTCAGAAGTCACTGTTACCAAACTGTCACCAACAACAGTTCTCTTCAGGGCAATTCTCAACCTGAGGATCACACTACATGATGAATTAACCCTTTCACCCTAACATCACTATGAATATTCTCCAAACTGCTCTCTATACATTTCCTTAGGTACACATCAGGAGAATTTATCTAACAATCAAGAGTTTCTTGAAACCGTGATCATTTCCTCTATTCTCTCAGCCCTAAACTTTGATTCAGGGGTGATACTTTTAGGAGAAATAAGATGCTTATCACTCTTAGGGGTTAAATGGTTAAATGGCATCTGCTGTCATCATGTCTAATAATAGGTAAGGGAATTGAATACAAAAATGCCTCCAAACATACCTGACAAATTTCCCAAAAATAAACATGTTGAATGCCAGTTTAACCATGTTCCAGGAAGATGACCTTTCATACTGCATCATATTCAGTGACATGGCAACATGTGAGTGGCAGTTGTCACAAAAAAGGTTATGCTGAAAAAAGGAAATAAAAAATTTTTAAAAAATTGGCAATTGTCATGATTGCAATATAATCATAATTTTCACTATGCTAACTGATCAGTTAACTCACCATTCTGTGTTTGTACTCCTCTGATGCAGATGAAATGGCCACATCCCAGCTGTTTTGTACACTGGAAGCTTTCGCTGGATTTAGACGTAAGTATCTGTAAGTAAATTGTATTTGGTTTTAATTAATTTAAAGATATAATTGTATCCTGGATAATTTTTTAGGTCTTTCAATTATCAATTCTTCTGCCTTGACATTCTCAGTTCAGATTTAATGGACAACATGGAAAATTATCAAAATATCATGCCTGTTCTTTGATATTTGGTGGAACTAGGTCATGAAACACATCTGAAATTAAAAATAAGATACACATATACAATCAGCTGTACAAAACTACCTACTTTGTTGGTCTTCCAAAGGCCATATCATCTTCCTTTCAAGCAAAAATAACAGTGTAAGACATGGTAAGGAATTCTTGTTGTTTGGTTGTTGTTATTTCAATATCTGTACATTGCTATCTGTAACTTAAAATTTGTAAATGGTGTATACTTTGATATGGTCATCACTGCAACATGCGTTCTAGGCTTAAAGCACAAATGACAAAGGTATCACTTACTGAAACATAGTATGGACCAGCAAAGTCTCTTATTACACCTGAAGACATGGCAATCCCCATATGGCCAATGAAAGGGAAAAGCCACCTTACAATATATGAATAAAAAAAGTTAATTAGGAAAGGAATTTTTAGAAAGACTGATAGAAAGTGTAAAACAACTGGTTCTAACTCTTCTAAAAAAGGTTCCGTTGAACTTTACTAGTCATACGACATCATCTTTCCTTTTTTGTCTTTTATCGTCTGAAGGAGCAGGTTGCAAGAAAACCACGATCTTTTTTTCCTTGTAGGAGGATGGTGTCGGTACTTTCATTTTTTTTCCTTAAGGAGACTTAAATTTGTTTACTAAACCAAGGGGTGTGCGGAATTTTTTAAACTGTCGATCCTCATAGTCGAGTAATACATGGATTTCTTCTGATTAAGATTAAAAAAATTAAAAAAGGTTACCACTCACTATATCATTTATTGTGCTACTATGTTAAGAAGAAAGCAAATATTTCCATGTTTATCTTTCGTACATAATTTAACCCAAATAATTGCCCTGGATAGCTACTTTCCAAAATTCTCTTTAACCTAATCAGAACCAGATCACAGGAACGAAATCATTTCACAACAGTGAACATGCACATGCAAAATAAATATATATACTCACTCAAATAAATATATATACTCACGTAAGCACCGGGATTGGTGTCCAGACAATACAGTACGGATATCTGCTCCGGGCTGCGTCGATTTTTTTATAGTTATCCTCGGCATCCATGATATTTTCTTCTGGATTATCTGCCATCATGTAGCGACATTACGAAGAACTCTGTGATTGAAGGCCGCCATCGAACGTAAGATATGGGACATTTCAGTGCTCTTATCACAACACAACTGTTGCTGTTGAGTAGATCTGCTGAAGGCGTAACACTGGCTCCTTGGAAACCAGACGCCATGGACGCCATGTTTGCTTGACTGGTGTTTTGATCTGTCTTGATTTGAAATTTATCGTTCGCTTTAACGATGAACAAGGACGCATATTTGTTGAATGATGTGAATTCTGGACACTTCACAGAATTTAGTTTTCGGCTATTAGCTAGACGGTGAGCAGTTTCAGGTGAGTCGAATGAAAATTGATATCCTTCGAAATTGCATGTTTTGATGTTTTTCGTTCACTCATATTCAGATATTCTTGCAAAACTTGACTGTTTTTTTTGTTTTTATGAGCAAAGTTATGTGCCCTCGACTTGATAAAAATAAATAATTTATATCTCCTCGTTCCCTGAGTGTTAAACCGATACAAATCTTTTTTTGAATTACTATACGTTCTTGCAGAAATCAAACATGGTTTAGTTCAAATAGAAACTTTCTTCTCTGCACTGTGATGGAACGATTCATTCCCGAGCACCCCCTCCCTACAGAAATCCGGGAGATGCCAAAAGATGACACAGTTTGTCAGTTCTGTGGTGTCAGCTACCTTATTCACAGCGAAATGAAAGCATTGGAGGAACGTGTTAAGGAAGCAGAGAGGAAAATGCAGTACTACGTCGAAAGTGTAGAGCGAGAAGAAAAACTCAAAGTTAAAGTGGCC